GTGAACAGCTGGGACCCTACTCCACTTATTTGTGGAACACCACAAATCACAGTAAAATGAACCACTGACAGTAATTTTTGTTCAAAACCTGAAACTTTTCAGTGTCTCGGTAATTTTTCACCTGAGTCTATCTCGTTTTATTTATTTATTTTTTTCCCAGAATGTGGTATACTATCTAGTCATACGCTCAGTTTCCCTGTTTATACCGTGTACAAACAATTCAGTTCACAAGTTGAATGCGTTCAAACGATATCATTTCCTCATAATGCAGGATATTGTTTTATCATAGTACTTGCGGTATCCAGAAGCTGGTGTAATACTCCCATTCACCATGTTATAATGAATGTTTACACGGGATTAATTTCATCGCCGTTTGAACTCTAGGAAATTAAAACCTCAAATATTCACGACGTAACAGTTCAGTTCATGATATATTATGTTTTAGCACAGGGGGTAATTCACTGTTATGAAAAATTATTTGTTTTTCAGAATAAATATACTAGCTTATTCACATTACATTACAAATGAGCGGGAACGCACGAAATGTGAAAAACATAGAAACTTCGAGTGTGAACTGGTCTAGCCCTGTGTCAACCAACAGTACCATTCGATTTTACATCCTACGATATTTTGTCATTTCCCTCTATTTACATTCATTCTCCATCATCAGTACTTCCAGATGATCATTTTTCGAAATTGAAAGTGTCGTTGACATTCTTCTTCATATCCTCCTGAAACTGCAATGTTGTTGTAATTTTCTCCAGAAGCCAACGATGACTTTTTTAGTTTCTGTGAAATGATAAAACTTCATTCGGAAACATTTTCAGTATTTTCTCGTCATTTTCTGGGAATAGAATATATTCCATTTCCATCCTCTACAATAAGTGTTTCAGTATCTTTTTCTATTACTGTTTCTGATATGAACTCATTCAATTCAAACTTTATTCTTTTGTCTTCAGTATACAGTAATGATTTTTTCCACTCTGGTAATATTTGCAAATATCTGAGTTGCATTACCATAAATGTCGTTATTACCAAATTTTTTTGTTTTTGGTAGTACGGAGTTTTTCAGGATATCTTTCATTGAGGCGAAAGTTTTTATTCTGAAATTTTTCAATATGACCATCATTTCATCATCAACAATAGTATTGATTCGAATGTCAACTGTCGTCCTGCAACAGTTGACTAAATTTACAGGGAAGTTGAAATGCGGCCTGTTTCACTGCGACCTTTGAACATCTCTGGTTATCAAAGCTTTTTATCTAGCTGTAATACGACAGTAATACGAATCTGAAGCCTTGATATTGGCTCCTTCATTCTGGTTTCTGAGTATCACTTCTTCCAAGCCTTAGCCTTGCTATTGTTTCACATTCACATAGCACCTATAGTGCGGTTTCTTCTTTCTCCTGTCAGAACCTGCATGAAGTTTTTCCGCCATGCCATTGTGCTCATATGTTTCATGAGCCGACAATGCCCCGTTAGCAGATATTTCGTGAAATATCTGCTAACGGGGCGAGGGTTTCCAAATGAGCTTTTTCGCCTGCCTCATTCCTAGAAGCTTGCTTCAAAAATTTGATAGATGCCTTTGTGCTTGTCTTCGCCAGCACACATGGTTTTAGATGCACCATCACGGGCTGGAACATCGGTCTCCTGATTGCCCTTGTGTCCTTGGTGGCCAAGTATCCAGGCTAGAGTAACCCAATTCTAGGAACCTACCTGAACGAGTACGCCCTTCAAGCGGCGAATAGATTTGGTAATGGCGATGGTTTTGTTTTGAACTTTCTTCCTGAACAATTTCCCTACACAGAGTGCGATAGTGGCAACTTCTGCCTGAAACACTGTTGCGTTCTGTCCAAAGCTGAGTGTGAATCTTGACCTAGCTCTGACTCCTACTTTTTCTTGGATTTTGAACCGTCCGTAAAACAAGTTTTCTCTGCTCCAACCGGCCGGCCGTTTTTCTATTCCTCTTTGCTTGTTGTGCTGATTTTGAAACTTTTATAGGAATTGGGCAATACAGAACATTTCAAGTATTGGAACTGCGGTCAATTCGTTTGTCAGGTTCAGTTTTTTTCCTGTGTGGATGCCTGATGCCTGCGTCAGCCTGTGTGTCACTATTCGAGCTCCTCTTCAATTATAGATATGTAGTGGTGGAAGGCCAATTTGAACACCAAGAGCTGCAGTTGAAGTCATTCTCATAGCTTACGTGATACTCAGACCTGCCAATATTCGAATGCTACTCACTAGCCTAATCCCATTACCCCAATACCTTCACATATAGCCATAGTGTCATTTTTGGCTCCAACCCCCAGTTTTTCCCATATATCCTTCCGCAGATTACCAGGACCATTCCAGCCTCATAGACTGTTTTTGGAATGTAGATTCCTCGCAAGCCTATGATCGAAAACCATCCCCAGGTATTTGACATCCTTGGCAAATGGAATCTTTACTTCGTTAAGCATCGGTGGTTTGAATCTTCTGATTTTTTTCTTGTTTAAATAAGGACGGTGGTTTTTTAATCATAAACTAAGAGATTTTTATACTTACTGGGTTGTTCTATCTGGAAGTAATAATGTTGAGGTGTCTCCAGCCAACTTGTCAGCTGTCCCATCAACTTTTGGGAACTCATTGTGGACTGGAAGAAACTGCAATTAGTTCACAGTGTGGAAGATTTCCCAAAAGATAGGTGTTGAAGTGTTTGTGAGATTTTACCCTAGCTCAAAGCTTCACCTATTGATGAAATAACTGCTTTCGCTTTGTTTATAGTTTCTATAAAGTAGCCTGTAACCTTCTCTTCAATATTTTATTTTAATCTTGAATATGATGAACCCAATTCCAAATTGGAATGTATTGATGTCGAAAAATAAGTCGTTCCTCTCTTGCTTAGAATAGTTAATTCAATTTTCATTCTAGGGAATGGTTGGTCTTGTATATTATCACCAAACTGGATAAACTTTACTTACTCAAGCTAGTACTTTGATGACGGTTGAGTACAGCAATGCATTCGTAGTTCATCCTAGCACCATTGTCGAGACCCATAGACCCATTGCGGATAGGAATAGCGCTCTCTAGTGATGTAACACGAAAGTTTTTCTGGACTGTTTTTTCAATTGTTTGTTGCAGTGTAAGTTGTAGCGGAAGGCATAGAACAAGTCTCGTTTATCAATTGATGTCAAAGCTTGGTGTTGCAACACGCTGCCTAGAAACACCTTTTTTGGTTTTATTATAAGTGATTTTACTTCTATGTTGATTTGATAGATAGTGTCTTCATGAAGAGAGATGTCATCGCCCTCACTTACGCTTCTATTCCACAGACAACTAAGTTTGGATATGTATTCGTAGTTCAACCCAACACCACTGATGAGACCCCACGAATTCCTAATCTCTCGGCTCTGGTTTCATCTAGTAGCTTTGCAGTGGAAGTTTTAGTGAAAGACAGAAAACGAATCTCGGTTCTACAACGAATTGTATTGAAGTGACTCGTTTATTGTAATATTCGTGGATTGAGTCTACTGTTGATTCCACTGACCACCTTTTCTTGAGGACAGATTTCATTGCTTCTACTTATTCCGGTAGGTCTTTTAAAAACAGTTGGATTCAGCAATACATTCGTGGTTCAACCCAACACTACTGATGAGACCCCACGAATTCCTAATCTTTGGGCTCTGGTTGCATCTAGTAGCTTTGCAGTGGAAGTTTTAGTGAAAGACAGAAAACGAATCTCGGTTCTGCAACGAATTGTATTGAAGTAACTCGTTTATTGTAATATTCGTGGATTGAGTCTACTGTTGATTCCACTGACGACCTTTTCTTGAGGACAGATTTCATTGCTTCTACTTATTTCGGTAGGTCTTTCAAGAACAGTTGGATTCAGCAATACATTCGTGGTTCAACCCAACACTACTGATGAGACTCCACGAATTCCTAATCTTTGGGCTCTGGTTGCATCTAGTAGCTTTGTAGTGGAAGTTTCAATGGAAGACAAAACCCGTCTCATTTTTGCAATGAATTACCTTGAAGTGACTCGTTTATTGTAATATTCGTGGATGTAGTCTTCTGTTGATTCCATAGACGTTAGATCTCATTGCTTCTACTTGCAATACACTGCATTACATTCGTAATTCACCCCAACACTGATTGTGTTGCACCATGAATGACTGCTTTACTTGCTTAGAGAGCAATAATGAAAAATAGACAACAAATCTTGTTGGGAAGTCAATATTGAAGCCTACTTTTGCGAAATATCGCCTCAGGGTCCTATAGATGGCGTCTTTGTGATGTAATATCTCATTGCCCTAACTTTTTTGGCTTGTACTCTGAGAATAGTTGAGTCTATCAACGTATTCATGGTTTGGCCTAGAACCACTGATTAGACTTATATCGGGTCGATACAGGGCTGTCTGTCCGTCATTTTTGGGCTCTAGTTTTGCACCTATATATGAAGTCGATTATCTGTGCCTGGTACACTTATCAACCTTTTCGTTATCTCTGTTTTCAAGGGCCCTGACACCAGAACAGTTTCAGTATCGTTTCCATTGGTTCACACTGTATGTAAAATGAGAGAATGAATTGAAAAAAGACTCCAGTCAAGTTTCAATTCAGGAATCCGAATCCCGGAAAGTTTTCTGATTATATATCGCAGAGAAAATTGATTGAGTGACTGTTTTCATCGAATTTCAATTTCATAAAATCAAAACTGGTATATTCGTTAAGATTGTGAATCAAAAACAAATAACGCCTCAGTAAAAACCTGACAGAGTAAATCGTTGAAATCGTCGTCTACAGTGTAACTCGAGTCACTGCCCAAAAATGATTAGACAAACTGGGACGAGAGTCTGTATCCATCACTGTGACATGATTGCCACTAGTTATACTTTCTAAAACACTTTTAATTGAATTTTTAATTGGATATTTTTAACCAGTGCTGTTTACGCTTCTTGCTTTCACTTTGACAGTGAGAGGGAATACAAAAACCCAGTTTACATTATTTCCCATTGTTTCAGCTTTCAACAAAACAATGGACAGACTTCATAAGTTTGGAAAGAGTTTGAAAGACTTTAATTACAACAACAAAGAGATTGCAGACGACATCTATTCAGCAATAAACTCTACGCAGTTCTTGGGAGTATCGGTAAGTTAATGAGCTGTATATTTTTGAAATATAAGATTTTTTTCTGGAGGGGGAACCGAACCGTTTCTTAGTTTTCATTCTGGTATCAGTTTCTTCTTCAGTTATATTCAAGATATTCAACGGTATGTTTACAAAACTTAGATACAGCTTTTCTTTAATCAAATTGAACTATTTTTGTCCATCTCCTGAATATTTCAATAATTTTCCGTAAAGTTACATACAGTCGAAGAACATTTATATTTGTGACCATAATAAAGATCTTTTGTTGAGAACAAGTTCAAGAAAGGAAACAATGCGTTTGAATAAAATCAGCGCCCGAAAAATGACCAACATCAAAAAGCGCTGTTTCAACCAACCATATATTTCGTCAGTGGTGTTAGGAAGAATAACGATTGCATCATTGGACTCGAACATACTCAAAGGACATGCCTAAGAAAGTCGAGGTGATGACATCTTTTCCTCTTCCTTTAGAAGGATTTGATCAATGGGATGGTTCAACTAAAGTACAATTCCACGAAATTTATTTTATATCTTTCACTGCACTATACTGAATTTCCAAATTAGTAAGGATTGAATTCTCAGAAATATTATTGCAATAAAATGAAAACATTGTTGTCAAGGTTATGATTCTATATATTTCTTCACCATTCTTCCTCATCTGTTTTGTAAAATTTCCGTACCCCTCTGCAGATTGAGGCAAAAACGTCAGTCATTTCTGGGAATTCAGTGCCCACTATTTTGGATTTGTAGTATAGTGCAGTAAAAGACATAAACAAATTTCGTTCGACTATCGATGCCAAAATTTGTATTTGCAATGCAATGAATGTTCTGTCGACTTCAAGTCTTCGTGAAGAGAGGTATCATCGCCTTCACTTCATCCATATGATGCAAATTCAAAACAATTGGGAAACATTGACCATAAACAGCTTTTGAAGGATTTGCAAGACCTAGGACTCAGAGGAAATGTACACAAGTTATTTGAAAGCTATCTGGACAACAGAAAGCAGCAGGTGATAATCGACAATACACTAAGTGAAGAAAGAATAGTACAATATGGGGTGCCGCAAGGCACAGTGTTGGGACCGGTACTCTTTATTATCTACATGAATAATATACTCACCTCACAGATCAACGGAGATATCATTAGTTTTGCAGATGACACGGCAATATTCTATGAAGATGCATCCTGGGAAAATCTAAAAAAGAAAGTCGAAAGTGATATGAGTAAAATTATAGATTGTTTCAATCCAAAAAAATTAACACTGAACTTTGAAAAAACTTCGTTCCTACCTTTCGCTTGTTACTCATCCCACATCCCAAATTTCAATTGTCTTGAAATAAAAAATGCTGATGATATTATTCAATTAAAGTCCTCAGAATTTGTTGAATATTTAGGTGTTTACATTGATAGACACATCAGATGGGATGTTCACATAAAAAAAACTGTAGGTACACTGAGGAGTATCCTTTCTAAATTTATATACTTCAAAGATATATTGAATACCCACCAAATGAAAATCCTGTACCATGCATTAATAGAGTCTAGATTGTCGTATGGAATCCTAGGTTGGGGTGGTGTCGCCAGCAGTTATTTGAATCATCTAGATATTTTGCAGAAAAAGTTCCTAAAGATTTGTTTTAATAAATGTCAAACGTATTCATCGACCCTACTATATTCGGAAAGTAGAATACTGGACCTCAGACAAATCTACTTTCTACGTGTAGCGGTAGATCAATATAAAAATAAAAGTCGTTTGAGAAATATTGACCACAATTATGATACAAGGGCAAAAAAAGAAAACATGATGCGCTCTGAGTACTCATCCAAAACTATTGGTCAGAGAGGATATACTCATCTGAGCACCAGAATATTTAACAATATCCCTAAGAACATCAAAGACTTAACATCAATTGTTTTATTCAAAAAAAAAACAAAGCAGTACCTTAACGAAATAGAGAGGAAAAAAATACATAATGTGGTAGACCCGAATTCCCTGCGGTAATATTCATTGAAAGATAGAAAAACTATACAAAAATTACATTGTCACAAAAAATGGTTCTCATACACATTGGCGCGCAACTTTTAAAAAATTATTCATGTTATGATCATTTAATTATTTTGTTTATGTAGTATAGAATATCATTATTACAATAGTTTGTTCAAATATAGAAATTATTTTCAAACAATTACACTAAATTGTGTTACAAAATATAACGTACCATAACCACGCGCTGGCTTCTTAGCCTTAGTGGTTCGTTTGTTTATTTCAAAATGCAATTTTTGTAGAGTATTGAATGATGTTATTTAACTTAGTACATTTGAATTTAATTAAGCAATTTGTTATTGATATAATTGTAACTTTTTTCTTTGGAAATAAACATTATTATTATTATTATTATTAGTTTTCCAAGTTCGCAGAAGTTTGAGAATTTTCAAGTTGTGACATGAACATTTTTGTTTTTGCTAAACGAATATTCACATGGTAGATAATTTATTATCAAATCAATTACTATAATTGAACTGTGAATTGCAAAGTTTTTCCATTCCATTCCTACAACCTACAAGGGATCTGCTATATCACCTGTAATGCTTTATACTCTCCAGGGTCCTGAGCTAAACTTGGACTCTCTCATCGTGATTGGAAGTAACCAGTACTTCAAAATATATTCCTGATAGCTCACAATATTATCACCAATTACTTGTTTTCAATTCATTTTATGTCATAGCTTCAGTTTCACCTTTTATTCAAAAACAGAAATGCTTCTTCAACGATGACCATGAACTACAGATCTAAAATTTCAATTTGACACGCTCCTATTGTGAATGATGTGCCGAAAGCTCTTCAGTATTCATTATCTCTTCACCTTTTGGAAACAATTGGAAAATTGTAAAATTTTCATCCGGAAATGAAAAGGTCCCGTTTTAATTGTAGATAATTGCAGAATCACTCAAAGCATGTTCAGGAACATGCCAAATTCGAACAACTTGCATAAGCCGTTGGAAAATGAAAAAATAGTTATTTATTAAACATATATTAAACCTCGGTTTGACTGAACGTTCGCGCAAATATTTAACTAAACGCTTTACCTACATGTTGAAAGTTATCAGGATGGATGCTTTGATATGCCAAATGCCGTTTCACTCTCCATTGGAGCAGATGAATCTCATGAATGAATAGTTGACGACTAGTTCATTGGCATCAATAGGATCCGAATGTCACCGACTAATTTCAAAGAGAGGAAAACGTATTACCTTGTTACTGAAATCACGACGCCATGAATGAATCATGCTTTCATAGGTGACTCTCGTTGAGGACACTATAATTTTCGAATATGAAATATATTGATAGAGAAGAAAACCAAATAAGCAAAAACACCAAGCAGATGGAAAACCACCGAGTTTTCCACGTGATGAATAATGTGTTATTGATAATTCTTTGTTTCGATAAAAGCTTTGTTGATAAAAGAATGCCAGGAGATAAATCAAATATTGATCATAAGATGTTATATTCCTGAATAATTGAAAAGGTGAAATAAAAACAAATCAATACAGTTTATTGTATGATTTTCACTACAAAAGGGTTTTACCAAAACCGCGACACGTGTTTCGCTATACAATAGCTTCCTCAAGCATAAGCTGAGAGTTATTTCTAAATTACAACAATTTACTCTAACCTAGTACCTATTCGTCTACCTAAATGATGAATTTACCTGAAAAGGTCTTTTATGAATTCATTAACAATATCAATTAATTTTTCGAAAGTATACCTAACTATTTTTACCTGCAAATGAACAGATTCAATAATGACGAATTATTCAATTTAGTTTGATCGTTCATGAGATGTGGAGAGATTTTGAATTTGTTCATCTCCATACTCTCGAACAGTTTAAGTTTCAAACGTATCTTCTGGAAATGGAGGGGTTTGTATTCATGGTTGAACCCATATCCCTCTGAGATCAAATGACTGGCATATGTGGAATTTATTTTTCCATTCTGAAAACAATATTTGTGTTCCTTTATGCGGGTTTTGAATGTTCTTCCAGTTTGACCTATATGAAACATCGGACATGAGCCACACGATAATTTATACACTCCTGATTTTTCTGAAACTGAACTTTTATCTTTGTTATTCTTAAAGTGCATGCCTAGGTTATTGTTGTTTTTGAAAGCACTACTTACACCTTTGCTGTGCAGAACATCTGAAATATTTCTAGTGGGTTGGCCTAAGTAGGTTGAGGTTCTATACCTTTCATTCTCTTCTTTTCGAAATGGGTAAACTTCTTTCATTGACTGTATAACTTTTTTTATAATGAAGAATGTATCAGACCGTTATCTTAATCATTGTTGACGGCTATTTGCTTCATCATATTCAGTTCTCTATTGAAATTCGCCATGGACATAGCCATGGACAAAGAAGAATACGTGGAGAAGACTTTAGACTTTCTACATGCTGGCATGTACGATAGTCTAAAAAACGACTCCACCCATTTATATCAGAAAGAAGTCAAGGAAACTTTGAAAAATATTCATTGTATCATGGATAAAACCAAAAAATTCCGATCGTTAGTCATGAACCCACAACCACCTACATTGTATTCGTTGATGAAATTACACAAAGATAACTATCCGGTAGTTTCTTTCGTCACTGCTCCTTCAGTTAAAATATCCAAAAAACTCATTGCAATTATTCAAAACCACACCAATTTCAAATAAAAATTCAGTTTGAGGAATTTATACCATTTGATCATTGAAATTCAAGATATTACACTTCCGGATAATGCCAAATTGTTTTCATTCGATGTGAAGAATCTGTTTCCCAGTATTTCTCCGAATGAAACTATTACTCTGGTGGAGAATCTATTGGACGAAAACTCAATCAAACCGGTAGTGGAAAATTAAATATTAGACTTGCTTACGGTATGTTTGTCACAGAATTACTTCCAATTCAATGAAACTTTTTACTCATACATCAAAGGTCTCGTAATGGGAAACCCACTTA